AGTACCTGGCGCTCTGAAATGATGATTTCTGACCTTTACTCTGCAGGAAAATATGTATCGTTTGTTGCTTACAGATTTGGTCACTTAGTAGGACCACTCTACGTGAAGATTATTCTTCCATAGCGTTTACTAAGTTTTTTTAGTGGATTTTCAGTGTGTATTTGTAACGTTCTATACAATTTTTGTATTTCATTTCCTTATAACATATCATTTCGTAAGCAGGAATCGGTAAAAGAATGCTAGGAATATTATACGGTGCCAGAATTTGCAGTGAGCAAATTGCAATTACTATGTACTTACTGCATGCTTGGCTAGGGATTGGCTTCGAAGTAAATATAGATTGGCTACAAAATGGTTACTATAATTGTATTGGATGTAGCTACTACGTGGTTACCCTATTGTCACCCCCTATCAGATTCGAAGTAAAATGTTTGTAGCAGAACCTAGAAGTACAGTGTAGTCGGAGGCATTGTGGGTGCATCGGATCTCGCATGCAGCCACAGGGTGACTACATTGTAGCTCGAGCGGAATTTTTTGGGATGAATAGCCGATTCGCGATGGCGGAGGGCCGCAACAGCAGAGGCGCGAGGAGCAGCAACAATGGCGGGTGGCCAAACAGGAGGCGCAAGCCTGGGATTTGTTGAGCGACGTCATAATTTACAGCGGCGAAACTACATTGGCAATCGAAGGACGTTTCGAGCGTCCGGTAGTGCCGCAAGCGCTATTGCGTCTGAGCGACAGACAAGCAACGACACAGCGCGATGTACGGCAATGAGGGAGCGACGGACTACGACCAGAGACAGCAGACGGCGACCAGAGACAGTAGACGACGACCGGAGCGTCGACGGCGGAAAACCGACTATAGACGACGATGAAGTGACAAAATCGTTCCGCGATGGCGGGGAGCCGCGGCAGCAGATGCGCGAGGAGAAGCGGCAATGGCGGGTGGGGCAAGCACGCGCGCGTAAAGGGGGCTCCCAGCGACGGAAGTGGCCGATACAGCGGTGGCAACAGAGGCGGCAGCGGCGGAAACAGCAGCGTCGCTGCGAGCAGCACAGCACATCATGTCGGAGCGGCGGCGGCAGTGGCAGCGCCGGTCGCACTCCGCCTGGACCAATTCCTTACCGCCGTCCCAGCCGCCGGCGCTACCGCCACCGCGTCCGCCGCCATTCCTGCTGCGCGCACGCCTCTACCGCCGCCTCCGCGAGTGTCCGCGGAAATGGGTTTGTGGGCCAGTGGCAGGGGGAGCGCAGATTGGGGCAGCAGTGACGGACGGCCGTGCGGAAGGGGAAGGGGAGGCGGACTGGAGAGTGGAGTCGCAGGAAGGGGAGGAAGAAGGGGGGATGCGGGTTTGGCGGAAACGAAGCGAGGGGTGGGAGAAGGGGGAGCAGAGGGCGGAGCAGGACGGGGGAGGGTGGGGCCAGGGAGAGGAGAAACGAGGGAGGGCTCAGAGGTGGGAGAGGGTAGCGTGGGATCAAGAGAATGTGGGATGAGGGGAGTGTGGGATGGAGGGTAAGGGGAAAGAGAGAAGCATTGCGAAAGGAGAGGTGGAAGCTGAGTGGAGGGGAGAGGCGAGGGTGGGGGAGTAGAGAGTGGACGAGAGGGGGATGCATGGGAGGCAGACGGATAGGAAACGAATGTGGAGGAGGTCCCGAGGCCAGGCGTGGGGAAAGCGGGATGGGTAGAGGGTGGGGGGAGAGGAGGGTGCGGGGATGATTATGCGAGACACTTTTGGAGTTGGCAGAGCATGTTCTCCTTCTCCCGTACGCAGCATTCGACGTTCAAACCACCGCTATCCCATCGGCTGGCGCTGGTGCTGCACTGCACGCACTCCAATCTCAAAAGCGCCGCACGCAGCGTTCCCAGTTACCCAACTCAACCCAACCCATCCATGCACGCTGCCTCGCCAAGGTGAGTGCCGGTGTTGAATGTGGTGGGAATTCGGTTCTGTCAGGTAACACGCGGTAAGATGAAGGGTAATACGCGCCGCGTAGCCATGTTCGTTACTCTCTCCAGGCGCCGCCTTGCCAAGGCGACTCCAGGACAGGTCAAGGCGACTGCAGGACAGGTCAAGGCGACTCCAGGACAGGTCAAGGCGACTGCAGGACAGGTCAAGGCGACTGCAGGACAGGTCAAGGCGACTGCAGGACAGGTCAAGGCGACTCCAGGACAGGTCAAGGCGACTGCAGGACAGGTCAAGGCGACTGCAGGACAGGTCAAGGCGACTCCAGGACAGGTCAAGGCGACTGCAGGACAGGTCAAGGCGACTGCAGGACAGGTCAATGCGACTGCAGGAGGTCAAGGTGACTGCAGGACAGATCAAGGTGACTAGGGGCCGAGGGGGGTTATTGGTGCCACACGGTAATGTGGGTTTATTGCCTCTCAGGTATCTCACACTAAGGCGGGCTGTTGGATTTATCCAAGGGGAATACTGCACGCAGCATTGCAGCGGCCGTGCCTCTCTCCCAGCGCCGCCTCGCCGGTTTGTGATATGGCTGGCTGGGTGGGTCAGGCTGCTGACTGCTTCTCGTGACTGCAGGTGAGGAGGTGGATATAGGGGTGCTGGTTAAGGTGGCGCCCTCATTCATTCCCCACTTACATTTGGGAAGGTTGGGAAAGATGAAGTTTCTTCTCAGAAGTTTCAGAAGTGGCTGGGTAAAGGTAATTCCGTGCAATGTGACCAGGCTATGAAGAAGAAGGCGGGTGGGCGAAGAAGTGTGTGGGCTATAGATGCTGGTTCTTCTGTCAGGTACTAACAAAAACTAAGGGGGAAGTGGGGGTGGTCTGTGCGTGCGGGGTGAGCGGTGCTGACTCTGGTGGAGGAAGGAGTGTATGCAGCATTCCCGTGCTCGTGATTATGTTCCGGTGCCGTGTAGCGAAGGTGACTAGAGGCTGAGGTGGGGAATTGGCTTCCTGTCACTCGGATTCCTGTCACTCTTGGCTTGACTCTTCAGTGGCTTCCTGTCACTCTTGCCTTGACTCTTCAAGCATGGGGATCCTGGTGATTTGTGACGGCAGTGGGGCCATGCTTGCTCTGAAACGCCAGGCCCTGAAACGCCTGCCATGCCCATTCTTGACGACAATGGTGCCTCGCCAGGATAATGCCACGCACCCGCTGCTGCACCACCGCCGCTGCACCACCGCCGCTGCACCACCACCAGAGGCGCCATTGCCGGAAACGTCATGATTGCCTCCCAGCTGCGTGTGTGCGCCTCCTACATCCCCACGTGTCCCCTACATGCCTGGCGGTACTCTCATGTACTCCGAGTTGTCCTTACTACAATCACTTGCCGCCTGCGCGTCTGAGCCCCCATGCTACCATTCCTACCATGCTGTTGCTCCCTTGCCTCCGTCCCTGCTCCCTCCCTCTGCCAACTCCCTCGCCCGCTACTACTCCTCCGCCATACTCCACCCCCCTACTCCACCCCCAGCTCTGCACCTGAAACTGTCTCCCGCCATTTGTTTCATGGTCTCAGTCCCTTACGGTGTCTTACGGCACTGCCACACTGCTCAACTCCCCACGCCCTTTCCATCTCAAGCGGTCATTGTATTGATAAAACAAGGGTACAGCAAGGTGATGAGTTGCTAGGCAGGCGGTGTTCTAGGGGACTAGCCTCCTAAGGTAACAATCGGCAACTAGGTGTCGACCTAAGGGAGTTCAATCCCTGGCTCAACCTTTCTTTCCGCCCATGCCTTCCCCTTCCCGCACCCATCCAACCCAGACACGGACGCCCCCAGGGTGCGGGCGCACTGACTACCTGGGAAACCTGCGGGTCAGTGGCAGGTCAATGGCAGGTCAATGGCAGGTCAATGGCAGGTCAATGGCAGGTCAATGGCAGGTCAATGGCAGGTCAATGGCAGGTCAATGGCAGGTCAATGGCAGGTCAATGGCAGGTCAATGGCAGGTCAATGGCAGGTCAATGGCAGGTCAATGGCAGGTCAATGGCAGGTCAGTGGCAGGTCAATGGCAGGTCAATGGCAGGTCAATGGCAGGTCAATGGCAGGTCAGTGGCAGGTCAATGGCAGGTCAGTGGCAGGTCAATGGCAGGTCAATGGCAGGTCAATGGCAGGTCAGTGGCAGGTCAATGGCAGGTCAGTGGCAGGTCAATGGCAGGTCAATGGCAGGTCAATGGCAGGTCAATGGCAGGTCAATGGCAGGTCAATGGCAGGTCAATGGCAGGTCAATGGCAGGTCAATGGCAGGTCAATGGCAGGTCAATGGCAGGTCAATGGCAGGTCAATGGCAGGTCAATGGCAGGTCAATGGCAGGTCAGTGGCAGGTCAATGGCAGGTCAATGGCAGGTCAGTGGCAGGTCAATGGCAGGTCAATGGCAGGTCAATGGCAGGTCAATGGCAGGTCAGTGGCAGGTCAATGGCAGGTCAATGGCAGGTCAATGGCAGGTCAATGGCAGGTCAGTGGCAGGTCAATGGCAGGTCAATGGCAGGTCAATGGCAGGTCAATGGCAGGTCAATGGCAGGTCAATGGCAGGTCAATGGCAGGTCAATGGCAGGTCAATGGCAGGTCAGTGGCAGGTCAGTGGCAGGTCAGTGGCAGGTCATGGCAGGACAATGGCAGGCAATGGCAGGTCAATGGCAGGTCAGTGGCAGGTCAGTGGCAGGTCAATGGCAGGTCAATGGCAGGTCAATGGCAGGTCAATGGCAGGTCAGTGGCAGGTCAGTGGCAGGTCAGTGGCAGGTCAATGGCAGGTCAGTGGCAGGTCAGTGGCAGGTCAATGGCAGGTCAATGGCAGGTCAATGGCAGGTCAGACTCCATCAGAGGTGGTTGAGAAGCAGCCAGGGCCGGGGGGCAGTTGACAGCTGGAGATCGCCAAGGTGAGAATCGGTGACGACGGTGGTCGGGGCCGGGGGGTGGGGAGGATGATCTCGAGTCACTCGGCCCCGACGGTAGGACAAAGGAACTTGAGTTTTGCCCAGGTTGGAATTGCTGTATGTCGCTGCAAGTGGCGTTGGAATGGTTGCGAGGGTCAGTGGGGGGAGCTGATGGCAGGCCAGGTGAGTTGCGACGGTGAGACTCATTCCCACCTCCAAGAAGGGTTCTATTACGTCAGTGCAGGCCATCTACGTGCCTGCTGATGACTTGACGGATCCTGCTCCTGCTACCACGATCGCGCATCTGGACGCCACGCCACCACTGTGCTGTCTCGCCAGGTGAGGAAAGGAATCGTTTTTGTTGGGCGTCGAAAGGTGGGGAGAAAAGGTCAAGGATGTGAAGGGGCGGCTGAACAGGAGGCCCAAGAAGGGCTCCATCACGTCAGTGCAGGCGATTTACGTGCCTGCTGATGCTCTCACGGATCCCGCCCCTGCTACCACCGTCGCGCATTTGGACGCTACCACCGTCGCGCATTTGGACGCTACCACCGTCGCGCATTTGGACGCTACCACCGTCGCGCATTTGGACGCTACCACCGTCGCGCATTTGGACGCTACCACCTTCGCGCATTTGGACGCTACCACCGTCGCGCATTTGGACGCTACCACCGTCGCGCATTTGGACGCTACCACCGTCGCGCATTTGGACGCTACCACCTTCGCGCATTTGGACGCTACCACCTTCGCGCATTTGGACGCTACCACCGTCGCGCATTTGGACGCTACCACCTTCGCGCATTTGGACGCTACCACTGTGCTGTCTCGTCAGGTGAGCCAGTGTGTGTGCTGTAAACTTCTAGTGGCTGGGTGGTTGGACGGGAGGGTGGGTGGGGTTCAAAGGGAGGGAATCACGTCACCAAGAAGGGCTTCGTCACGTCAGTGCAGGCCATCCACTTGCCTGTCTCTCCGCCCGCTTTGGTCTTGCAGTCCCACTTTTGTCCACTTTGCCATAGCTGCTCTCACACCCTCCCACCCTCCCACCATCACCCTCTCTTCGTCCCACTCCCTCCCTCTCGTCGTCCCACTCCGTCTCTCTCATCTTCCACCCACTCCCACTCAATCTTCCACCCTCTCCCACTCAACCTTCCGCCCTCTCCCACTCAACCTTCCATCCACCCTCTCCCACTCAACCTTCCGCCCTCTCCCTCATCTTCATACCCTCTTAACTTCCCACGCTCCCTCTCATTTTCCCACCCCCTCCCTCTCATTTTCCCACTCGCTCCCTCTCCCTTCCCTTTGCCCACAATTCAAACAATCTGCAGATCTCCGAGTTGGGTATCCACCCTGCTCCACATCGCGCATGCTCTCCCCGTCCATCCTGGGCATGGAGCACTCATTTTTCTTTCCTATTCCTTTGTCCCCCTCTGCTTCTTGCCACTGCACATCTCCGAGTTGGGTATCCACCCCGCTGTGGTTCCCCTTGACTCCTCCTCGCGCATGCTCTCCCCGTCCGTCCTGGGCATGGAGCACAGAATACCCTTCCTTGTCTCCCATCCTCCCCCACCCAGTCACTCTGCAGATCTCCTAGTTGGGTATCTACCCTGCTGTGGTGGGCCCTCTGGATTCCTCCTCGCGCATGCTCTCCCCGTCCGTCCTGGGCATGGAGCACAGAATACCCTTCCCTTGTCTCCCATCCTCCCCCACCCAGTCACTCTGCAGATCTCCGAGTTGGGTATCTACCCTGCTGTGGTGGGCCCTCTGGATTCCTCCTCGCGCATGCTCTCTCCGTCTATCCTGGGCATGGAGCACTACAAGAACCTGCAGGTTTGACCGCTTTCCTGCTGTGAGTGGGGTATGTGGAGGGGATGGAAGGGGTCGGAAGGGTTCGGAAGGGGTCGGAAGGGGTCGGAAGGGGTTGGAAGGGGTTGGAAGGGGTTCCTCCACCACCTACTCTTGGCGTGCAGGAGGTGCTTCAGGACTACAAGAAGCTGCAGGAGAGACTGTTTCCACGCTATGGCTCAAGTCATCCTTAGTGCGTTTTTATTGATAGAGCATGAAATGCCTCACGACTACTCTATGCCCCCCATCCTTGGGCAAACTTCCCATCCTTTTTGTAACATCATCTCCTCCACTCCTCTTTCTATTTCAGGGTATCATTGCCATTCTGGGAATGGACGAGCTGAGCGAAGACGACAAGCTGGTGGTGGCCCGCGCTCGCATGGTTCAGCACTTCCTGAGCCAGCCCTTCCACATCTCTGCCCCCACTGATACCATCCTTCTCTGCTCTTTCTATTTCAGGATATCATTGCCATTCTGGGAGTGGACGAGCTGAGCAAAGACGACAAGCTGGTGGTGGCCCGCGCTCGCATGGTTCAGCACTTCCTGAGCCAGCCCTTCCACATCTCTGCCCCCACTGATACCATCCTTCTCTGCTCTTTCTATTTCAGGATATCATTGCCATTCTGGGAATGGACGAGCTCAGTGAGGACGACAAGCTGGTGTGGCCTGTGCGCGCAAGATCCAGCGCTTCCTGACCCAGCCATTCCATGTGGCTGAGGTCTTCACTGGCTTGCCGGGCAAACCTGCTTCCAGGTGAGGTCTCGGGTTCAATTCCTGCTGCTGTCACTTGATTGCACAGTCATGTGAAGGGGCGTGGCAGCAGGGGGCATGGCTTCCTGAGCCAGCCCTTCCACGTGGCTGAGGTCTTCATTGCCTCAGCGGTCAAATACGCCGATGTGAATGAGAGCATCACCAGCTTCGAGGTGGGTGGCGGTTGAGGTCTTGAGTTCGAATCTTGCTGCTGTCACTTGATTTCACTTTCATGTGAACGGTTGTGAGGCAGCCCGTTTACATGGCTGAGGTGTTTACTGGCTGGCCGTTTACCCTTCTCCCCTTATCCTGTCTCTTCTCTGCACACTCGCACAACCCCCTACACCACCCTATCCCCCTCACAGGGTGTGTTGGACGGCAAGTACGATGATCTCCCTGAGCAGGGACAGGCGTTCTACAGGGTGGGAGGCATCGAGGAGGTGGTGGTGGTGGCCAAGGCAGAGAAGCTCGCCAAGGAGCTCAGCTCCTAGGCTGTTTCTGCCGCTTTTGCTGCTTCATGGGGCTGCTGGTGCTGATGGTGCTGGTGGTGGTGGTGCTGATGTGATTGTTGTTTTCCAAATGCGATTTAGTACAGTTTGGTACAGGTTACAGTAGCTGCGGGTGTTTTGGAGTACAGGATTGTTTCAATTCTTTTCCCAGGATCTAAAGCAAGGTAGTTCGATTGAAAGCTGGCTGTTGTTGTTACATGCTATCTCAAAGCCAGCATAAATGCGGGAAGAGGATTTTACTCTTTCAATGTCGTACATAACAGAAGATTGTTCGCTTGACATCTCTGTGATACTTTACACAGCATGCCGACATAATACACTATACAGCAATAGCATTGTTGTGCATAAGGAATCCTAGTTGTGCCATATGCAGGACCGGTTCGTACGGGTTCAGAGTTATACAGAGCGACTGAGCAGCAGGCAGTAACCTACGGGTGGTGTTATGGCACCATGCAGGGGAGAAGTATCGCACAGGGGGTCAACCAGAAGGGCTATCGGAGAAACTCAGGAGAAGCTGATGATTTTTGTCCTAATGTGCTACTGCCAGCAGCCTGCTGCTAGAATCAGCTGCATTGTCCAGGATAGGAGGGTCGGCTAGAGTGTGTGCTGCTCATAATCACAGTTGGGGTGTGTGTGTATGTCAAGTTTTTCCTGTGCTCACGACCTCCTGGTGGTGTGGGCTTGAGTACTCTTGGGCAGCAGAGGCGTGTTCAGTGTGAGACGTGGTGAAGAGGTACAAACTCCTGACAATGGCTTAGCTCTGGGATTACTGTTGGAACGAAATCACCCGCTAGAACATCCCCAGTTGGGCAGATAATACTTTCAATAAAAAACTTCTACCAGTGTCCTAGTCGTTGCAACTTTCTGTGTCTTCTACTTAGTCGCACTTGCGGCGGCACTTCTTGATCTTCTTCTTGCACTTCTTGTAAGTGTGCGTGCACTTGTGGTGGTCATGCTTGTCGTCCTTGTTCTCGCGCTTGCACTCGCTGTAATCAGTGTTGCACTTCTTGTTCTTGTCCTCGCAGTCAGACCGGCACGACAGCATGCGCGGCGAATACAGGAACCGCCGGCTCACTCGGTATAACGCATCCACGAGACCTGGAAACAGGGAAGGCATGGAACGAACGAATTCAATCAAAAACGTCGCGTCTGAGGTTCAGTGTGATCTGTTACATCAAGGCAAAGCAGGGGAGGGTCGGAGGGGAGCGCATGGCGTTTCCGAGCGCAACGTGGTACCACACGCACCAGGAGGCGACGCGTCTGCGGAAATGGCGGCGTCCAAGTCATCGTCGGCGTCGTCATTGTCCGCGGCGATCTCATTCGCGCGGCACTGCGGCGCCAGCGCGAGGGATACGAGCAGCGAGAGCGCGAGCAGGGCGAAGAAAACCTTGGAACGCCTCATGGCTGCAGCGACTGCGATTCTTGAGAATTCTCAAAGATCAACGGGGGTGGTGCCGTGGAGAGGAAGAGATTGTAAGGAGATTGCGGAATGAATTTATAACAAGTCTGGGTAATATGACTTGTCTGATACATCTGAAGCCTCACGCCCTGGCATTTATAGGACCCGTGGTACATCTGCGTAGCCGGCGCGTACATCGTGATAACGTAACTATAGCTGGTGGTCGGTGAGGTCTAGCCGCTGGTTGGTGATAAGGTAAGTCTGGTGGAGTAGTTTTGGTCGGTGTTAGGAGGTGGATTATGTACGGGGATGTGCGTGCGAATCGAAAGCAGCGGGGTGGGGTTGCTTGTTCGGACAGGTCTGGAACGTGGGAAGAGGTGAGGTGAGGAGAGCGACGTGGAATTCAGTCGTGATGATGGACTTGGGAGGGAAGGGGGAGATGGGAAAGGGGCGGGGGAGGAAGGTGTAGGGGGTGCTTGCATTGAAACGAAATTGCAAAAATCGAACCGCACATTGCGATTCAAATGCCTTTGCGCGACGCGGACACGATGCGCCAGATTTTCCCGACGAATGCCTTTGAGCCCGTTGTGTCATTTCAATAAGGAGTTCTGCTCTACAGAAATAAACATTCTATACGAGCAATGGTTATGAAAATACTGGGAAAGTGGTAGACTTTGAGAATTATCTTATGTGCATTGGATGAGGTGCTTGGATAACACACCTGATTGTGTAAATCCGACGACATATAACCAACTGACGTCAGATAGTGGCTAGATAGTGGTCGCGTCGACGAGCGACGAGAGTTGTGACGGACCGCGACGAGGCAGCGACTGTAAACAATGAGAGTGAGAAGAACAAATTCGCGATGGCGGAGAGGGCCGCAACGGCAGAGGCGCGAGGAGCAGCGGCAATGGCGTGTGGGGCAAGCACGCATGCGCAGGCGAGTGCGAGCAAGAGCTGGAAGGGCAAAAGTGACCTGTCACTGGCTCAATAATCATCGCATCAAAACGACAGACATGCTATTAGAGAGCGACGGACGACGACGAATCAGTGACTGCCGACGACGAGGAAGCGACCGTATACAAGGAGAGAGAGAGAGAAAGAATGGAGAACCCATTTGCGATGGCGGAAAGCAGCGAAGGCAGAAGCGCGAGGAGCAGCATAAATGTCGGATGGGGCAAGCACCCGGGCTCCTGGCGGCGCCAATAGCAGAGGCAGCGGGAGCGGCGGAAACAGCAGAGTTGCTGCGAGCAGCACAGGCCGAAGCGGCGGAGCGGAGAGGCGGTGGAAGCCCCTGCCGGTCGCGCTCCGCCTGGATCTCTTCCTAACCGCCCCTGCCACCAGCGCCACCATCACCGCTACCGCTGTAATTCCCGCTGCGCGCGCCTCCGCTGCGCGCGCCTGTACCGCCGCCTACGCGAGAGCGGCGGAAACAGCAGAGTCTACAGCAGAGTCTCCCTGGCTCCCGCTGCGTGCGCCTGTACCGCCGCCTACGCGAGAATTTACGGAAATCAGTTTGCACGCCGCTGGAACGGGAAGCGCTTATTAGGGCAGCGGCGACGGGCGGCGGCGCGGAGGGGGAAGGGGAGGCGGAGTGGGGAGGGGAGGCGCAGGGGGGGGGGGGGAAGTGAGGATACAGGCGCGCGTGGCTTGGATTTGGCGGAAATGAGGCGAGGGGTGGGAGAAGGGGGAGCAGGGGACGGAGCAGGAGGGCGGAGGAGGGGAGACGGGGCTGGCGGAGGGGTGAGGACGGGCGGGAGGAGGGGCAGGGAGTGAAGGGGAGGGTGGAGGAGAGGCAGGTGGATGGAGACGAGTGGGTAGGCGAATGTCAGAGAGGAGAAAGGACGGAGAGATTGGATGGGAGAAGGGGCAAGCAGGGGAGGGGAAGGAAGGGGAGGAGAAGGAACGACAGGTGAAGGGAGGAGAAGAGAGGGCAAGAAGCTGACCACTTACATTGGCGTGGAGGCATGCAGCATGCTGTGTGGCATGCGTCTTGCCTTGACCATCTCATGTTCCTGACAGCCCCCTTGGCCTCTACCTCCTCACCCCAGGTGCGCCCATCAGGTGCGCCCATCAGGTGCGCCCATCAGGTGCGCCCATCAGGTGCGCCCATCAGGTGCGCCCATCAGGTGCGCCCATCAGGTGCGCCCATCAGGTGCGCCCATCAGGTGCGCCCATCAGGTGCGCCCATCAGGTGCGCCTCTCAGGTTGAATTTCCCAAGCTGAGCGCCGTGGAGGAGGAGTGGTGAGAGAGGGAGAGGGGTGATGAGAGGTGGGAGAATGGATAAGGGCTATCATGATTGTTACGATTGTGCACAGGTGTGTGGTGCTTGCACCTTAAGTGGAGGGGACAGGTGAGTGTTTGGGAGGGGAGAAGGGGTGGTGGTGGGGTGGAAGGCGGGAGGAACGGCGCAGGAGAGGAGGGTGTGGGGGTGATGATGCGAGACATTATGCTGCAGGGTGTTTTTGAGAATTCTCAAAAACACCCTGCATGCGAGACATTTGTTTCAATTCGCATCATCACTTGGGCGTGCAGTTCTTTGGAGTTCATTGAGATGCTCTCCCCACCCATACGCACTATTCAACTCAATGTTTATGTTCTTAACACCCTATGCCCCCACCCCACCCATTTCCCGTCCTGTCCCTGTAGGAGGTGTTGACACTTCCCGCTCGTCCATCCAATCAGATGCCGCCATATGCTGTCAGATGCTCGCCCCGAGGTTGTGGCTTTCTCACGACGACGCCTCGCCAAGGTGAGATGGGCAAGGAGAGGTGGTGGTGAGGGTAGGGTGTATGTGTGAGGGGTGTTTGTGTGAGGGGTGCATATGCGAGTTGTGATTTTGTGAGGGGTGTATGTGCCAGGGGTGATTTTGTGAGGGAAGTATGAATGAGGGGTGCATGTGTGAGGGGTGATTGTGTGAGGGGAGTGTGTGTGAGGGGTGCATGTGTGAGGGGTGATTGTGTGAGGGGTGCATGTGTGAGGGGTGATTTTGTGAGGGAAGTATGTGTGAGGGGTGCATGTGTGAGGGGTGTTTTTGTGAGGGGTGTATGTGTGAGGGGTGGTTGTGTGAGGGGTGTATGTGTGAGGGGTGTATGTGTGAGGGGTGATTGTGTGAGGGGTGTATGTGTGAGGGGTGGTTGTGTGAGGGGTGTATGTGTGAGGGGTGTATGTGTGAGGGGTGTATGTGTGAGGGGTGTATGTGTGAGGGGTGTATGTGTGAGGGGTGTATGTGTGAGGGGTGTATGTGTGAGGGGTGTATGTGTGAGGGGTGTATGTGTGAGGGGTGTATGTGTGAGGGGTGTATGTGTGAGGGGTTATGCGCGCAGCATTTTTGTGGTCGTGGCTCTCTCCCGACACCGCCTGGCCAAGGTGAGATGGGGGCATTGTGCATGCAGGGCTGCATAAGTAGGGCTGCTTAGGCAGGGTTGGTTATGCCGAGCTGGTTAGGCTGGTCATGTTGGTTGGGCTGGTTCGTCTGGTTAGGGTGGTTAGGGTGGTTAGGTTGGTTAGGGTGGTTAGGTTGGTTGGGTTGGTCGGGTTGGTTGGGTTGGTTGGGCTGGTTGGGTTGGTTGGGCTGGTTGG